CCGCACTCTCCTGTCCCCACCCAGACTGGAACCCAGGCCCCTCACCTGCCTGTGGCTGTGGCTTCCAGGAAGGGTGCCGGTCCCTCGGGGCTCTGGTCTCTCAAGACCTCAGGAGCTTCTCCTTGGCCCAGGTCCCAGCCACTCCTGCCCTGTTCTGGCTGGGGCCGGTCTGTGCGTCTCTCCACCAGACCAAGCTGCTCTCTGCTAGCTCACGATGCCCCCACTCCCCAGGAGCCCTGGGCCAGGGAACCCACCTCAGATCCCTCTGAGAAGTGCAAAGGACCTGAGGTATAAAGGCAGGAAGGGCACCGCCCGCCCTCTGCTGACCTGACTCAGAGGAGCTAATGGGCCTCCTGCTCCCTAACCAGGCCCCCAAGGGGCTGGGGCCAGCAGGGAGGAGCGGCAGGAGGACCACCCTCTTCCCGGACCGTGATGGTTATCTACCTCCCTTCCTGAAGGTGTCAGAGCATTAGCATTTGGAGTCGGGTGGGGCCATGTTGGAAAAGGGGGCTTGTGGGCTAGGAAAGCATATAATGGACACCCCATTACCCTGCGGGGGGAGGGGAAGAGATGCTTAGGCTAATGGACCGCCCAGACGCCGCTTTCTGCGGGCTAGGGAGGAAGGCGCCCTGGACCCCGAGTCTGGGACCTGATCTGCCATGGGTGGGCGCCATCTTGGATTCTGGCTACCACGAGCCTCCTTGCTATGCCGGCCCTGGCTGCAGCCCCCTGGGTGGGGCTGGGCGGGCCGCACACTTCCAGGGCTTGTTTCTGAGTTTGTCTTTTCAGGTGGGGGTGAAGGGGGTATGGGAACCCTATGGTGAACTAGGTTAGAGAGGGGTCACTACTTCGTGCTGGGAGCTGTGAGGGCCTTGGATCGCATCGCTCAGACTTGATGCGGATCCCCTGTGCTGCAGACCCTTGCCCTGCCTGGGAGAGAGGGTCTTGAAGGAGATAATCAAGTTCAAATGAAGTCAATAGAGGGCGCTCTAAGCGAATATCACCATTGGCCTGCCACGAAGAGAACTTGAGGATGCAGGCAAGCATGGACCACCCACAAGAGGGCTGTCACGCAGGGGAAGGCACACCTTCAAGCGCAGATCACCACCCTGGCGTCCCTGCATCTTCTAGACTTCAAGACTAAGAAAGTAAGTGGTATGCAATGCTCATGCCTGTCTTCCTTGGGAAGCCCAGAGTGTGTGTGTGTGTGGGGGGGTGGGGTTGGAATCATAGTTCCAGGGCAAGCTGTGACAGAAGTTAGTGAGACTCCATCTCAAAAGAGGGATGCTGTGCCTGCTAGTACACGCATGTCACCCCGGCTGCGTCAGGCAGCAAACTAGGTAGATGAGGTCCAGGGCTGTATAGCCAGGCAAAAATCCAGACTCTGTTTCCAAATAATGGAAAGCTGGGCGCTGGTGGCTCACGCCTGTCATCCTAGCTACTCAGGAGGTTCAGGTCTGAGGCTTGCAGTTTGAAGCCAGCCTGGGCAGGAAAGTCCGTGAGACTCTTATCTCTAATTAACTACCAGCAAACTGGAAGTAACACTGTGGTACTTAGCCTTGAGCAAAAAAGCTCAGGGACAGTGCGCAGGCCCTGAGTTCAAGCCCTACAGCTGACAAAAAGGGCTGGAGGCATGGCTCAGCACCTGCATAGCAAGCCCTGAGTACCACCAAAGGAAAAAAGAGATTGTGGGAAAATATACCACTGGTCAGTGGGGGGCTGGGGGGAGGCAGGCCTGGAGGTCCTGGGCATGGGTGGTCTGTAGAGAGCAGATTGCCGTGAATGCTGGTTATTTCTCTCCTAGGGAGAAGTGAGCTGTTTTCTGTTATCGATAACACAACTGAAGTTTGGGGGAAGCATTTTAAACCCAACAGGTCTGGGAGAAGGGGGTGGTAGACCGTGAGGGGAAGGGGGGTGCCATTTGCCTAGTCTGCCGACCATGCTCAGTTACCAAGGGCAACCACGCCCCAGCTCCCATCACTCCAGGGGCGGGGGCCCCCAGCCTGGACAGCAAGCGTGATTGTCAGGAATTTTTCTGGAAGTGATCAGGTCAGGACAGGCCCTTCGGTATTGGCTGTTTGTAGACAGCCAGGGGCTGTTGGCTACCTGAGGTGCAGCTCAGTCACGAAGAAGAAATGTAATTCAGTCAGGTGCTGGTGGCTCATGCTTGTAATCCCAGCTACTCAGGAAGCTCAGATCTGAGCGTCCAGGTTTGAAGTCAGCCCGGGCAGGAAGGTCTGTGAGACTCTTATCTCCAGGTAGCAGAGCTGAAAGTGAGCCGAACTGTGGCTCATGAACTAGAGCACCAGCCTTGAGTGAAAAAAGCTCAGGGACAGTGTCCAGGTCCTGAGTTCAAGCCCCAGGACTGAAACAAATGAACAAAAAAGAGTAAATGTAACACAGACAGAGGAGAGATGAGAAACAGTAAAAAGAGCAACGGAAGAGCTCAGAGAACACCGTGTGTCTGAAGCCAGAATCACTTCTGGAAGTTTCTGGGTGTGTGAGTACACACCCTACCCCAATGGATGAAAACAGGGTCTCTGTTTCCTGTCACCCCGAGTCCTGGCCGGAGTGGGGTGCAGATTGCTGGGCTATGGTGGACAAAGGCCACAGTGATGGCCAGGTGGCCGGAGAAACTTCTGGAATGGGAATGCAATCCTCCTGTGAATTGATCGCTGATCACAGGGACATCCCTACACACTTGTCCCAAATCACAGGGCTGTCTGGGAAATGGGCGCATTTTATTGCATGTCAATTAGATTCATTACAAAAACTGAAGACAAAACCTGCCCAGAGCAGGTGAGCCCTCTCTCAGATGGAAACTTCGCCCTGTAGTCTGACTCATCCAGCTAGCTGAGTTTTCCATGAGTTTGAATTTTATAAAATGTGCCCGGCTGTTTCTCTGTCCACCAACTTTCCGGGGGCCCTGGCTCCAGGCTTCACACTGGCTGGGTCTTGGTGGCTTTGAACCAGGAAGCTCTGGGCACTGTGTACCTGGCAAAGCCGACCCATCTCTGAGCACCCTCTTCCTGATGAGACCACAGTTCCTGGAAAGGAGGAACGGGCTCCGCTGAGGATTCTCAGGCAAGCAGTACAAATGCAGAAAGAGCCTGAGACCCCCGACAGGAGTTGCCTGCAAGCCATGGCTGGCAGGGTGTCTGGGAAGTCCGGCTGACAGCATAGCAGGGAAGATGGGAGATGGGAAGACAGTGATTAATTGGACACGAGTCTCATGGATTTTCCTGCTTGGCTGGCTTCAAACCGTGATCCTCAGATCTCAGCCTCCGGAGTAGCTAGGACTACAGGCCTGAGCCACTGGCACCCAGCTTCCTTCTAGCTTATTTTTGTAGAGGCTGTGGGTGGGAGGAAGTAGGAAAAACCTAGAGGGCTGCCCTGACCAGCACCCCCCTTTCCCTCCTCCCCTGCTCTGTGTCACGTGCCAGCAGAAAGTTAGAACCGTCGGGCAGCTCCTTAACAGGCGTTAAAATGTCCACTTCCGGACTGTGGCATCTGACCGTCGAGTGGGTGTCCTGGAGGACGGCCTCACTCTGGGGCTCCAGAGTAGAAATCTGGGACGCTTGGGGGTCCCCCCAGCTTCCTGCCTCTACCCAAGGCCTAGAAAGGAGGCCCGGAAGGCCTGGGGACCCAGCGGTGCGGTACAGCCCTCCACCCCTGCAGCTCCAGACACAACACCGAGGGAGGGAGGAGGAGGGGACGCCTGCAGCCTCTGCCCGAGCCGTCCTCCAAGGTCTCCCCTCCCTCAGGAAGCGGGGGAGGTGAGGCTCTGCACCCTGGTCTGACTGCAGTGATGTGGGCCTTCGAGGGGTCCAGAGCCCGGATTCGGGGGATACTTTTAGCCCCAGTCCAGGCATGTCCGCTGTGTCCTGCTGTAAGGTTGGAGACCGCCACACTGACGCCTTGTCTATGGTTCTGAGCAGCACTGGGGAGTGGCAGGGTGAAGGCCAGGTTCCCAGCACTGGGCGCGGGGCGTGTGGGGACACCGATGATCTCCTCTGAGCCCCAGCGCGGTCCCTCACCCCAGGTCCCCTCCGCCCTGCCGCAGTGGGCGGCGATGGTTGGAAGCCAGCTAGAAGCCAGCCTCACACTGTCATCCCAACTACTCAGGAGGCTGCTAGCTCCTCAGATCGCTCTGAGGATCAGGGCTCAAATCCAAGACTCTTTTCTCTCCAGTTAATCAGCAAAAAGGCCGAAATGGAGCTGTGGTTCAAGTGGTAGTGTGCCAGCCTTGAGTGGAAAAAAAAAAAAACCAATTAAGGGAGACCACCTAGGCCTGAGTTCAAACCCTAGTACCAGAATAGAGAGAGAGAGAGAGAGAGAGAGAGAGAGATGAAGGCCAAATGGTATGTGAGGCCAGCTTGGGGGGGCACATTAGGGCCGTGGTTTTAGAGGGGTGTCAGCTCCCCGCGGAAGGGGCTGCAGTGTGCCGGGCTGCCCCCCGGGGTGAGGCGGCGTAGGCTCAGGTGCGGCTACCCTGGCCCCGACCGCTCCCGCTCTCACGGAGGAGGGCTCAGCTTCCTGGCAGGCCACCTCCCTGGGGCTCTATGTGGGGTCCTGGGGTGTGCAGGTTCCCCCAGGGACTCTCCCCAGGTGGCCTGGGGTGGAGCAGAGGCAGGAGGGGGCCTGGCTGGGAAAGCTCCTGGCCTAGGATGGGACAAGGAGAGGAGGCCAGGCCAGGGAGGCCAGCTGAGGCTGGGCAATCGTAGCCGCTGAGGCCACTGCTTCAGGGGGTCCCGCAGGGACCCTGCATCCCTTGGAGGGTTCCCCAGGGAGCTGGGACCCTGGTGTGAGACGCTGGCCTCAGCCCACCGAAGCCAGGAGGGCAGGGAGGCCGCCGTGGATGTCGAAGCCCGCGGAGGAGTCTCCGGAGGGGAAGAGAGGGGCGGGAGGGATGGGCAAGGAAGGGCTGCCCCTCCTGGGCATTAGCTGCCCTCGGCACCCTTTTAGGGACCCCCAGAGAGGACAGGTAGCATTAGGCCTGCCTGGCTGCAGGATATAAAATGTTTATTGATATACATTTTATGGTCTTAAAAAAAAAATCTTCCTTTGGCTATGCAGCCAGTGTGCTTATTGATGGGCGCCGTGGGGCCAGGCCGTGGGGGAGGAGGGAAGACACATCCGGCCCACCGGGGTGGCGCCGGAGCCCGGGGGCTCCATCCAGAAGCTGCCAGCACAGTCAGTAGGGTCTAGAGGACCCAGGGCACTCAGGGGGCTGCCCGGGGCTGGCCGTGCACAGAGTCAGGACAAGCAGCTCCTGGCCCAGGCCCCCAGTCTCCAGGGGTCCACCAGGCCCAGACTCCCTCCTACCACAGCCACCGAACGAGCCACTGAGGGGACAGGGGCTGGTGTGCACAGCATAGCTACAAAACAAGCTAACGGAGCCCCGGAGGGACGTACTCGGTGAGAGCGCTCCCTGCTGGTGGGGCTGATACCATTGCTGGCCCGCTGGGGGGAGCTGGCTGGGTCACTGTCCCGAGGCCCCGAGGGAAGGGCCAGAAGGTGAGATACAGCTCGGGACTACCTTCTCTTCTTGACTCACCAACCGCGGGGCCGGGGGGGGGGACCCCAGTGCTCTGGGAGGGGTCAAGTGAGGTGGGGAGGCTCAGGCCCCCAAGGTCTGTTTGCAGGTGGCCGCTCCACCTCTTGTCCATCCCCAGAGCCTCTCCTGGGCAGGAGGGCTGCTTCTCCCTTGGCAAGGCGTCCGTGGAGGCCCCGGGGCCAGCTCCCCGGCCTGGCCGGGCCCCAGTGCTGGCCTCTCAGGAGGCGTTCCCGGAGGGACACTGCATCTCCATGGTGACGGTGTTGGGGGTGCTGCCCGCGGCCTCCCCTGGCTCGGCCCCGTCCCGCAGGGCCCGCTGGAAGACCACCCGGAGGGGCTCCCACAGGCGCTGAGACTTGTCCCTCCCGGCCAGGAAGTAGACGATGGGCTTGGCGCTGCTGTTGATGCAGATGCACAGGTCGGTGACGTACTCGGGGAAGGGCGCAGGGATGTGGAACACCCAGAAGAGGAACCAGTCGATCCCCAAGTAGATGGAAGACACCAGGAAGATGGACACCAGGGCCAGGACCACGTGATTGAGCTTGGCGGAGCGCTGGCGCCGCCGTGCCCAGCACTCCACGTGCAGGATGAGGGCCAGGCAGGGGAGCACCATGAGCGGGCAGAACAGGAGGAAGAGGAGCACACCCAGGGAGATGTCCGTGTGTCTGCAGGCCCTCCCGGAGACCTCCCGGCCCAGGAACACGCAGAAGTAGCTGTGGATGGCCGTGGCCAGCATGGACAGCAGCCAGAGCAGGGCGCACACCACGGCCGAGAGGCGCCTGGGCCGCCGGCGCCAGTACCAGGCGGGGAAGATGACCGACACGCAGCGCTCCGTGCTGACGGCCGGCAGGAGGCTCACGCTGGCCAGGAACGTGCAGAGCCCCAGGATCCGGGAGACGCCGCGGATGTAGTCAGCGAAGGGGCCCAGGAAGCCCCCCGTGTTGAGGAGCGAGAACACGGCCTTGCTGAAGAGGTAGGTGCCGTCTGCGCCCGCCAGGTGCAGGAAGTAGATGGAGAAGGGAGTCCTCTTGATGGAGAAGCCGAAGAACCACAGGACCAGCCCGTTGCCCACCAGGCCGCACAGGCAGAGCAGCAGGAAGATGTAGTTCATGACGGCAGGGGGCGGGAGCAGGGCGATCTGCTCGATGGTCAGGAAGCCTCGGCTGTAGAGCTCCGGGGCCTCGCTCACGCCAGGACACATCTGCGTGGGGTAAAGGGATGTGAGCACCCCGATCCCAGCCCTAGTCTCTCTCCCTCCCCCCCCCCCCCCCACACCATGTCCTATTAGCTACTCAGGGGCCAAGGATTAGAAGTCGCTGCCTCAGGATGAGAACCCAGCCCCCCAGTTCCGGCTGCAGCTCAGAACGGCATGCCCAGGGGGCTGTAGCCACCCAGGCTGCGATTGGGACAGTGCAGACATGTCCTTGTCACACGAGACAAGGAAGGATTACCAAACTGAGGGAGACCAGAGTCAGGACCGATAAAACACTGTGCTATGACCCCAGAGTCCATCCTGGGCCTGGACACAGACAGCGGACACGGTGGGGACAGTCCCCTGGAGGGAGCGTGGACGCGTGCAGGGCACCCGTGAGTGGACGGCAGGGACACACATTGTGTTTCCTGAGGGTGCAGGCTCCACACAGGCGGCAAAGGGACTTGGTGTCTGCACCCTATTTTCCAGTCATTCTGGGAAGTAAAGTCCAGCTATTAAAAGATCTCTAGAGAGAGAGAGTCTACGTGGTGAGATGCTCAGATCTAATGTTTGTGGTTCAAAACCAGCCCAGGGAGGAAAGTCTGTGTGACTCTTCACTAAACTACCAGAAAGCTGGGAGTGGAGCTGTGGTTCAAGTGGTAGAGCACTAGCCTTGAGCAAAAGAAGCTCAGGGACAGTGCCAAGCCCTGAGTTCGAGTCCCAAGATGCACGCGCGCACGCACACACACACACACTGCTTCTAAAGAAATAAATAACTTGTAAGACAAATTTGTAAAAATAACGAATCCTGCCCCATAGTGGATGAGATGGATTAGAGAAGGCTGTGGGGGTGTGAGAAGGGGCCATGCGGGTGCATACAAGCCTGAGGGAGCCCATGCTGGGATGGATTAGTGATGTCTGCAGCGGTGTAGGGAGGAGTTGCAGTGATCAGGGTGCTTTGTTGCTAGGAATAGGAGGTGGATCCCTACAGAGAGAGCATGTTCATCAAATGACCAGAGAACTAGGGACAGAGGTGGCTGGTCTCTGTCAGGACAGAGATGCCTTTTGGGGTGCTGGATTGTGAGAAAGTCCAGAAAACCCTAGAGGGGAGAGAGGCTTGGGATGGGGCTGTCTATCAAGCAGAAGGAGGCGTTTTGATATTTAACAGCGGTCTGGTTTAGAGGGTTGCCGCCTACTGGGCTGATGTGTGAGTGGGTGAAGCTGGGCCAGGTGCCGAACACCACTGAGAGCAGGAACAGTGGCCAGGCCACGGGTGCCCACCCGAGCTGGCAGGTAGCGGCCTCTGCTGCAGCTGGTGGCACTGGGTGGGTCCTGAGGATGGAGAAGGGCTCCTCCCCACTCCCCAGAGAACTCAAGACTGCCACGAGAAAGATCCTGATCTTCTCAATCTACCATTTAAAAAACATAGAGCCGGCCAAACACGGCCCATTCACAGGCTGGGCTGTTCTCAGGGCTGTTTTTGACCTCTTGTTCCCCGTGGCAAAGGCCCTCCTCCCCACACCCCTGCAGACATCACTAATCCATCCCAGCATTCTCTCCTCCTCTCCCCCCCTTCCTGGGCCATTCCACTCTGGTGGCTCAGGGCTCTGCAACAAAACAAACAGGAGTGTGCTAAAAGCAGAATACTTTCTGTCATTCCTTGGTAGAAAGCTGGGTCCTAAGAAATTGTTTTGTCTTGACTGCCCCCAACAAAGGGGAGGATCTTCTGGCCTGCTTTGGGTCAAAGCCAATGAGCAAATGGAAACTGGAGGTGCTCGCTAACATTTGGGGAGGACCCAGGAGGTCTTGCAGAGGGGGGGCTTGCTCGCCACCTGTCATCCTACAAATACTCAGCAGCTAACATCTAAGTATCTCTGTCCACCCAAATCTGGCTGCTTAGCTTGCTCTCTGCTTCCTGATCTTGAAGCCACCAGCTACAGCAGGCCTGGGAAGCTCTGCCCAGTGGAGACAGCCTGAGGCTCTGTAAGACCCTGCCCAAGGACTAGCTCAGCCTCTGGGAGGGAACTGGCTTGCGGGGGCTGGACACAGCAGGGCAGAGTAGCCAGGGCTTCTTGTGTCTCTCCCAGGCTGGAAAAAGTCTGCAATCTCGGCCGGCCTCGGGTGAGTCACCGGGATCCAGCTGCCATTCCCAGCCGTGCACTGCCTTGGAAAACACCCGCCCCCTCCCGGAGCCCTGAGCATGCTGGAGACCTCTGGAGAAACCCCTTGAAGGGCTGGCACTCAGCCATCATTCCACAGTGGTCCCTATGGGATGGAGGGAAAGGACCAGCAGAGCCGTGGGCACAGGGGTGGGGGTGGGCAGGAGTCAGTTACTATCCTGACCCATGCCTCAGTTTCCTCCAGGGCAGAAGATAAATTGGAGATAAATTCCTTCCAACTTAAGCATCCTGCCCAGGACTTGCAAGGAAATTCCAGACTTTTTGAAGGGCTCAGAGATGGAAAGCTGTCCATCCGTCCGTCTGTCTGTCTATCCTCAAAGAGGACTAGTGCCTGCTAAATCTCAGCTACTGCACCCTGGCCTGGGTGAGATGGAGCATGAGACCTCAGGGCTACCACGCCAGCGAGTGTCTCAGGGTTTGGGGGCAGGGCCTGGTGACAATTGCCCATCTCTGCGGGGAAGGGATGAGATGAAGGAGGGTAAAAGGTAACCCAGTGGGAAGAGACTTGCAGAGTGCTTAGTGCCTGTGTTTATCTTACTGAGGGCTCAGGGCCCTGCAGGCCCCAGCAAGAAGGCCAGGCTGCAGGGTCCGGAGCCGGCTCCCAGTCCTCTGCGGCCTGGGGGTGTATGTGTGGGGATCTGAAAGACTGGATGTGGGGAAGGGATGCTGGGTGGGCCCTGCCTTTTCCACCCAAGCCTTCCAGCAGCCCACACCCTGCTCTGCCCTGGCACTTGCCTTGTTCCTGTCAGGATGAGTCTCCCAGGAACAGTTTCCAGCCATTTCCAACTCCCGATCACAGCTCACCAGCCTGGAAGAATCCCAGAGAGATGTGGAGTGAAGGCAGCAGGGGCGTCCCCTCCTTAGAGCCCCTCCGTCTCCCATACCCCTTCCCAGGCCCCCAGAGTTTCCAGAGGCTCTCTCCTGGTGGGTGGGACCTGGAGATGGGCATCCACATTGTGGCACAGCCTTTCTTGTCTGTGGGCCCCATAGTCAGACTCTCTGGTCCCCTGGGGTCCACTGCCTCTCTCTGGGGTGGGGGGAGGGAGGAGGAAGCCCTCCCCTTTCCCTTGTCACTTAGCTGGCAAGGCATCAGGAACCAGATTGTTTCTGGTACAGGCACCTGGGTGTTTGGACAGTGGGACCCCAGTGATCACTCTGAAAAAGGGGGAGGCAGATTATCAAGGCAGGACTTCCTGGAGGAGGTGGCCCTTGGCTGGGCCTTGGGTTTGTAACCTGCTCAGGCATCGGATCTCCACCCCGCGCCCCACCAGGTGCCTGGCCCAGGCTGAAGGCCCTGCCACCTCCCACCTGAGCCCTTCACCCATCCCATTGGGCAGCGGGCCACCCCGCCAGGACTGGCCTGCCTGGCCGGCCACCCTCGGTCTCCTGGGACTGACCCTTGCCCTTCAAGCCGAGTTCCGCCCCTGCAAGCCAGCACCTCTCCCTCCCACTGAGAGGTGGGGAAACTGAGGCTGCGCAGGCCGCCGCACCCCCCCCCCCCCTCTTCCCCCAGCGCGCTCCGCTCACTCCCCAGAAATTCCTTCCCGGGCTCCGCCCCGCCGTGGCCCCGCCCACCGCCCTCTCCCGGCCCCGCCCACCTCCTCCCCGAGGGCGGGGCCGAGGCGTCGGCGCCCATCATTGGCGAGAAAGGCTGTCCATCCGCGCGCGAGCCCGCCCCCTGCTCAACCCAAGGCCTCCCGCGCCGGGGGGAGGGGAGGGCGCTCCGGAGGCTCCGCCGCGGGTCGCGGGGTCGCGGGGCGCGGGTGGGGTGCTGCTCCTGGCCCCCGTCCCGCCGCGGGTCCCTCCGGGCGTCCCGGGCCCCGCATTCGGGGCCCCTCGTGCCCGGCCTGCGCAGGGGGGGCGGGGAGCAGAGCGGGGTGCCAGCGGGGTGCCGCGCGTGAGAACCGGGGTGCCACCGGCCTCCGGTGCCAGGCCGGCCGCTGCCCCCGCTGCGCCCGCCCGCGCCGCAGCCCTGCCTGGCCCGGCTCAGAACCCCCCCCCTTGCTCCCACTCTTCTTGCAAGACGCCCCATTTCCCTGTGACTCTAATACTCCCCCCTTTCTTGGAAGCCCTTCCAAGGGAGACCCACCACCTCCCAGGGACTAGCGAGAGCCTCACCCGGTCACTCCCCTGCCCCAGGCTGGACCCCCCTGCCCGCCCCCTGCAGTCCACACATGCGGGCAGGAGGGGGGCAGCTGGGGGCCAGGCGGGGGGGGGGGGGGGCGGGGGGGGGCGGGCGCCCCTCTGTGACAGATCGGATGTGTCCCTGTACCCCGGGACCTGAGCACAGAGGGAGCCAATTGGACCCCAGATGGGCCACATTGAAGACATGTGTGCATGTGTGCGTGCGTGTGTGCATGTGTGTGCTTGCGTGTGTGCATATGTGCATGTGTGTGCGTGCATGCGTGCACATGTGCGTGTGTTTGCGTGTGTACACGTGTGCATGCGTGTGTGTCTGTGTGTGTGTGTGTGTGTCTATCTCGTGCTGGGCCACGGCAGAGCCGGCTTCCACCAGAGCTGACCCCTCTGCACCGGATGGCATGGTCACCTGTCTGCTTTCCCACTGTCACCCACCCCTCTCCTCCCCAGACCCCGAGAGCCATGGCCACAGAGAGCAAGCCTGGGTTTCCCCCAAGACCTGAACCGCTGCACACAGCTCAAGAGAGTCTTTTCCGGGGTGAGCCAGACCTGGCAGGACCCTCATTTGAGGACAGCGCCAGGCACCGCTGGCTGAGAAGTGGCGCCCAGCTGCCCAGTCTCCCGAGGCTTCCCGTGCCCGGCCGGGGGCTGTGCCTGGCCCAGGTCTCGGCCTTCATGGAAGACTGTGTGTGCAAGCATAGGGGCGCTTGGGGTGCTGCCCTCTGGGGTGTCCTCCTAGCAAGCTTGCCTGTGAAGTGGGGGGAAGAGTAGGGGAGCCCCCTCCCAGGAGGACAGAGCAGGGCTGCCTTGGGGCTGGGGGCAGGGAGGCTGCTGGTGGGGGGGGGGAGGAAATCAATGCTATACAGAAGGGGAGGTCTGGGAAGTTGAGAGTGACAGAAAGCTCTTTCCATGGGCTGCGGGCTCCATGCAGGGGAAGGTGGGGTTCCTAGGAGCTGCCCGCCCCTTTCCTCAATGCCCTCCTCAGGATTTTTTCCTGCCTGGCCTTCACCACTGTGCCCCTGGTCCCTGTTCCCAACCCCCTGCCTCCCCTCCCTCAGACCCTGGGCCCCAGCGTGCTACCTGCACTGTCCTGCTCTGCTGAGCCTTCCCTGGGTGCAGATTCTTCTCCGGCTCCCAGCCGCCGACCCTGGGGGCGAGGGTGGGGCGCACAGTCCAGCCGAGCACTGAGCACCGAGCAGAGCCCGAGCCTCAGAGCCTCAGCCGTGGCAAACGCAGCTCAGGGTGAGGTGAGGACCAGCCCTCGCCAGTTTGAGAAGCAGAACCCGCCCCAAACCCAATTCCAGGCCCGGCAGGAGGAGGGGGGGGGAGTGGAGGGGAGGGCAGGAGGAGGGGCTGAGCTGCGATGAGGCTTCGGGAAGGAATGCCCCACGCAGGAGCCCCCCCACAGCCCCACTGGGAGCTCATCTCTCCGCCTGCTGACGTCACGCTTGGCCCGAGCACTGTGGCCCGAGTCCAGTGGTTCATCTCCCTTGCATCCTGAGGCTCCACCAGCCTGCCTGGTAGAGGAAACTCTGGGCCATCCACTTGCTAACTGGCGCCTTTGGGCTGTTCCTGGTGGGATTTGGGGGGGACCAGAAAGTGGGGGAGGGGCACTCTTGTTTCCATGGACCGATGGACAGGCATAGAGCATGGGGGAACTGGGGCTGAAGACCACAGGAGGATGGTGACGAGCTGGCAGAGGCAGCCCACCCAGGGGGCACCCACCCTCTCCATCCCCCGCCTCGAAATCCACCCAGGGCCCCCGGGGGCTTCTGGAAGCAGGAATCCCCTTCCCAGGCCCTAATAGCAATCAGATGGCTGTGGAAAGTCACAGCGCTCGCTCGCTCGCGGTCCGGTCGGCGGAGCAGGGAAGTTGGCGGCCGTGGTGCCTGGTGCGTGCGCTGGGCTGCCGATGACTCAGCCTGCCCCAGCGAGGGGGTCCTGGAACACTTTAGCGGCTAGGGCACAGAGCCCAAGCTTGGGTGGGGATGGGGGGGAGGTGGCCATGAGGGCGCGGTGCTGGAAAAAGCTCCCCCTGCCCCAAGCCAACTTTCTCATGGCCTCAGAAGCCTGCGGGAATCCTCTGCTTTCCCTGGAGGGGCAAATGGAGCCGGGACTGGGGATCTGTGCCTCCCAGGCGGTGGGCCCAGCGCAGACGCAGAGCTTGGCAGCTGCGCCTGTCCCGGCATCACCGCCCCCTGCCCAGGGGCGGCCCACCCTCTCGGTCCCTGCAGAGCCGAGAGCAGGGGGCGGAGGTGGGTTTTTGAAGGCCCAGCTCAGGGAGCGTCCTGGGGTCTTGGGGTGGGGAGGGGATTCTGGGGTGGTGCTGCAGGCTCAAGCCACACCCGAGGCAGGGGGCAGGGCTGGGCTGGGCAAGCATCAGGCAGGGCGCTGACCCATGGCCTCCCCCAGGGCAGCCAGCTGGGCCCCAGCTGGGCGCTTGTTTACGCGGGGAGGGGAGGCCGGGGAGGCCGGGTTGCAGTGTAATTGCTCGGCTCACTTGGACACTTGAAAGCAGCAGAGGCTCCGCAGCGCGGGCCTTATTTGGTATGCAGATGGGTTTCTTTCAAAACAAGAGCGAGGGGCTGGAGATGGATGATGGACGGCGGTCCTCAGCGCAAGCTGCTGCAGGCCCAGGGCTGCCACCACTGTCCACCTGGGCCAGGTGACAGAGCCCAGGGTCCGGGGACTAGGGAGCAACAGGTCAACAATGGGGTGCTGAGAGACTTGGGTCTGGGGCATCCCTGGCTCCTGGCTCACAGGGACATCTGGGTCCTCACACGAGGGTCTCTGTGCCTGAGTTTTGGGGCACACACATACATGCACACACACACACACACACACACACACACACACACACACACATGCGGTTTCTGGCAACAAGCTGTAAGTGGGGAGTGGCAGGCTGGGACGCTGGGGTAGACCAGATGCTGACTGATTTCCTGGAGGGCAGTGGGAGGAGCCCCTATTGCCCCCAGGGCTCCGTGCCCCCCACCATGCATGAGGCAGGGTAGTTCACTCCGGCTGTGGCCTTCTTATGAAGTGTCAAGGAGGAAGGGGGTCAGATACCAAGGCCAGTCCTTGAGCCTCGTGGTGCCTGGCAGGTTGTTCCCCCCACCCCCCAATTTACACCCTCTCCAGGGCTCAGGGCTCACATGTGAGGGAACCAGGCCACGTCTGGCTGATGTGGTACTGAGCCACGGTCCCTATTCATTCTATCTTCTTTGTCCACATGCCTCCCAGTGGAAAGGAATGAGCTGTCCCCTGCCAAGGGCCTCACCCTTGTACAAGCTTCCTGTCCCCACACCCTAGGGCAGGACTGAACCCCCCCACCCCATGGGGTCCTGGAGCAGGAGGCCCGTCTGGGTGGAGCTCTCTGCCAGGTCCTTTTGTGACCCATGGCTGGTGGCTGCTGCCTGGGTGACCGGCAGGGCACGGACCTCACACTCCATTCCCAGCCGCTCCCTGCAGCCGGCAGTGTGGCAGGGGCTCCACGCTGGCTTCACACACACACACACACACACACATGTACACACACATGCACACACACATGCACACACACAATGCATAATGTACACATGCATACGTGCATGCAAGTGTGTGCACACACATGCATGCAAACACACACACACGCACGGGTGGCAGATGTTTAATGAGCACCAAGCAATGGGCTCTGAGCCCATGAACAGGTCAGGCAAGGCCCCCGCCGTGGCCAGCAGGTGAGGAGGCGGCCAGCACAGCCGGATCCTTGTGAAGGAAGCACTGGGGTGTGGGGTGTCCTCGCTGAGGAGGGGACAGTGCAGGTGCCGAAGAAACAGCGCTTAGTGCCTTGCTGTGGCTCTGGGTTATTATTATTGCTGTTGTTGCTATTGTTTTCATGTGGGCTATGCTGTCCAGCCCCTTTGCAAGCTTTCAAAAATCAAGATTCTCTTGCAGGCCAGGAAAATACCTGCCTGAGTGGCAACTGTCTTGGTACTTTACAGGAAAGATGGGCCAGGTAGCTTTCCTGAACCTATGCTTCCCCAAGAGATTCCACACTTCCCTGAGATCCCACACTCCCTGAAAGCCCACACTCCCTGAGATCCCACACTCCCTGAGATCCCACATTCCTTGAGATCCCACACTTGCTGAGATCCCACACTCCCTGAGAACCTCCACACTCCCTGAGATCCCACACTCCCTGAGATCCCACACTCCCTGAGATCCCACACTCCCTGAGATCCCACACTCTCTGAGATCCCACACTAGCTGAGATCCCACACTCCCTGAGATCCCACACTCCCTGAGATCCCACACTCCCTGAGAACCTCCACACTCCCTGAGATCCCACACTCGCTGAGATCCCACACTCTCTGAGATCCCACACTCACTGAGATCCCACACACCCTGAGATCCCACACTCCCTGAGATCCCACACTCCCTGAGATCCCACACTCCCTGAGAACCTCCACACTCCCTGAGATCCCACACTCCCTGAGATCCCACACTCGCTGAGAACCCACACTCCCTGAGATCCCACACTCCCTGAGATCCCACACTCCCTGAGATCCCACACTCCCTGAGAACCTCCACACTCCCTGAGATCCCACACTCGCTGAGATCCCACACTCTCTGAGATCCCACACTCGCTGAGATCCCACACACCCTGAGATCCCACACTCCCTGAGATCCCACACTCCCTGAGATCCCGCACTCCCTGAGATCCCACACTCGCTGAGATCCCACACTGGCTGAGATCCCACACTCCCTGAGATCCCACACTCTCTGAGATCCCACACACCCTGAGATCCCACACTCCCTGAGATCCCACACTCTCTGAGTGCACCTTTCATATTTCCAATTTGAGAAGAGAGTGGGCGTGGCACCCCGCCCCCCCCCCCCGCCCCCCCCCGCCCCCATCCTTCATCTATCCTTTCTGCCACCCCTGCCCTGTTCTGGAGTCTGTCCTGGCAGTTCAGTCTCAGCGGTGGGCTTCCCCTTGGCAGCCAGTGTTGTGGTTGGTTTTCCATTTTTGCCTTCCCCCTCCTTCATCTGTGATCAGAAGCATGTGAGCTGTGAATTCAATCCCTAGTCCTGAGGGGCAGGGGTGGGGTGGGGCGGGGTGGGGGTGGGGCAGGACCCCCACAGGTAGCCTGCTTGTCCCCAGCTTCTACTCCTCTTCCTCTCAGGATTACTTTCCTCTCTCTCTCTCTCTCTCTCTCTCTCTCTCTCTCTCTCTCTCTCTCTCTCTCTCTCTCTCTCTCTCTCTCTCCCTTGTGCTCCTGGCTGGGCCTGGGGGTTGGCACAGTGCTGGGCATCCTGAGCCCTGTGAGCCGTGTGTGCGGGGCATCTCTGAGCTCTGACCTGTCTCTTGCTGTGAGCCCCATCCAAGCCTGGTGCCCCCCACACCGGGGTACACTGACCAGGCCTCTCCACATGGCGGACTGGTGGGCCTAGACAGGAGCGGGAAGGAGAGCCCCAATTCCTGCTCCAAGGAGAAAGACCTGTGATGTTCATTTTATGGCACTGTCTCCTCGATGTTCCCCCGGGCATAGGTCCCGCTGTACCAGCTGAAAACAACAACAACAACAACACGAAAATCTTATTCGACTTCTGTCCCTTCATTTCCTTCCTCCCTCCCTCCTCCCCTCCCTCCCTTCTTCTCTCTCTCTCTTTCTATTTTACTCTTTCCCTCTCTCCTTCCCTTCCTTCTTTCTGTGCCAGAACTCAGTGTGTCCTATGGCGGCTCAGCTTGCTTATAGCTGGTGCTCTACCATTTGAGTTATGCTTTCGTCCCAGGTTTTTGCCAGTTAATTAGAGATGGAACTGAAATCCTCCAGGTCTCAGCCTCCTGAGCCTTGAGGAGAGCAGATGCAAGCCTCCAGTGCCCGGCTCCACACCCACTCTCTGACCTTCCTCTTCCAGACTCCAGGCCTGTCTCTGGGTTCTGATCGAAGAACATGCTCCTGCCTGGGCCTGGCCTGAAGGGGACTTTGGAGTCAGCCTGAGGCCCCCACCAAGTGTCTCCCAGGGCTGCACCCGCCCTGCAGCCCCTACAGCTCCTCTCTCAGCACCCCCAACTGCAGCCAGTTCCCATCCTTTGCTACACAAAAACCACTTGTCCCCAGATGGCCGCTCCTGGCTCATGAGCAATGAGAGCTGAAAAAGCACCATTCTAGACCAAAAGCAGGAGATAACAAGCCATCGGGTGCCCCGGATTCCTATGG